GAGCTCGCAGGCGATTTTTTTCTCTCGGGAGAAAATCGCAGATGGTCGCAGCTCGTACCGTGTGAGAAGAATTACGGGCCGATCCGAGACGTTACGAGCACCTCCCGTCCTCCCGATAATTTTCAAATATATATTAAAAAAATTGGATGCTGTCTGTTTAAATTCGTGTCGTATGTGCGGTTGAATGAGACATAAAAAAAAATCGGATGCTGTCTGTTTAAATTCGTGTCGTATGTGCGGTTGAATGAGACGATTTGGCGATCCATCTGAAGTTGACCAATCAGAAGATGACAAAAACCATATTCTATAATCATTTTAGTTTAATTATACAGTTCTATTTTTTATTTGTTATTCCGAATGTGCCAAATTTGCTGTTCAGCTTTATGAATGAATATGCCTGTTGTATTTCCGGCAAAACGAGCAGAAATTCAGAAATGGCCTACTCCCTCAATTTCAATTCAATTTCAATTTTCTATTTATTTTTATTTCGAACTATTAAAAATACAAAAGGAAAAAAACACATAATAAATATACAAATAAATACCAATAAAAAAAAATCTACAAATATAAATTATTATTATAATTTTTTTTTACATATATTCAACCTGTTCGAAATAAAAAAAAGGGTAGGTAGAAGCCCTAGGCTTATTAAATCCTACCCTCAGTAATTACCAATACCAAATCACAATCAGCCATAATAAATCAGACATACCATTTTGAATAATACAAAAATACTAGTCCAAATTACGTCCTACTTTATCTATCTATTAAGATAAAAAAGACAAACAGAAACAAAATCAAGCAGCGTTAACAACAATGTTGAAATTCTCACTCTCACCCCCCACTTCTGTATTTATCAAAAATAAATCTTTTATACTAATGCTTATGTCAGAGTTTGTAAAATCGTAGTAAATTCGTGTCGTGTGTGACTGCCTCCGTACGATTTTCGGATAAACTCAATCGTGACATGTGCCAGAGCTCACGACGTTCTGACCTACAGAATCGCACCGTGTACGCCCGCCTTAATGGGAAAGCTGAATTTTTCAGCAGTTGAAAACATTCCCCCCTACCCCCAGACCTCAGACTTTTAAACAGTAGTGTATATTCTACATGCAAACTTAAGGCTTGTTTTCCACATGTGTGTGATTATACAGTTATGATATTAAAATATCTGTACTAAGATCAGCATGAGCATATGGTCATTATTGATCGGCTGATATCATTTTCACATAATGAGTGTTCTCAAATTTCTCATATTCATATCGTAATGAAGAGGTCATCGAGTTCAAGCCCCTTTTTCTTTGTCTCTAGTTCAGTGAAAATGTGTTCCATCCAGTCTAATTCAGGGTGCCTTTGCCTCAGGGAGGAGAGAGGGAAGGGAATCTGATTGAGTTTATAGACTGGAAGCTGGGGCCTGTAATTCCAAACTCAGTTTGTTTAGTTCTCGCCTGCAAGGTTCACCTTTTATTTGCTGCTCTGATGGTCTTGAGGGCTTTTGGCACACGACAGAGAAGGTGAAACAAATACTGCTTGGGGCATTTTAGAATGAAGTTTTCTTTGTACTGCAGTGGCTCAAAGAGTAGAAAATTCTAGTGTGGCTCATGGATTACTGATGTTTAAAATCCTTTATCTTCATTAACTCAACCAATTTGTCTCTGTTGTGTCAGTCGAAGAAACAGTAGCTCATCTTCATTCTCATTAACTCTGTTTATGTGCAAACTCACATACCAACTGCTAATAACTCTTTTTTTAAAAGTCAACATAAAACTAAATTCAGCCTAATGATGCAATGGTCTTGCATAATCATGCACAATTCATCGTAACTTTAGCAATACCAAGGTCATGGGTTTGATTACCAGGGAATACATGAACTAATAAAAAGTATACCTTGAATGGTGTGTAAGTCACTTTGGATAAAAGCATCTACTAAATGCATAAATGTAAATGAATGCCTTTTATTTATTTTTTATCTCCTGCTAATCACCTGCTTTTTTCTGTTATGTAATGAGCTCTTTTCATTATAAATACTATTGCTGTGTCACGCTGCTGCTACTGTGAAGGAGCGAGGAGCAAAGGAGCAAGGAGGCGTAGGGGAATCCGTGAAGAAATTCTTTATTTTACAAAAAGGAATGTATACGTTAATACATAAGACGTTTGTGTTGACCTATAGCATGCATATATTTCATGAAAAAAACTTCTATTATGAGCAGGCTTGCCTAGCATCTACATTTGAAACAACAAACTTGAGCGCACAAAGAGATGCCACGTGGCTGCTGTCAAACCCGAATGCACGGATCCAATACTGATACACATGCGTTTTCTTTCTCAGATGTTTACATTTAGTTAAGACAAAACCGACTGTACTAACGAGGATAATCACCAGGACGGCCATTTTGACGTAATTTTTTTGTGTCTACTTGGAAAAACAAACAAAGTAAGCGCAACAAGCTGCGAAAAATAACTAAATTTGGTAGTCGCGAGGCAGCGCGATATGCGTGCTATGGATGTGACCGTGAGCGCATAGGAAACCCCCTTTGGAGCACGCGAGTATCGAATGGCTTATACTTAAAAAATATGCAAATTATACAGTTTTGTGACGATGCAACAATGACTCGATTAGGCAAGTGACAATTCTGTCGACTGTCCCGAAACCTGAGCAAAAGACTTATATCGCAGCATGTGGTAGTGCAGAAGAGATGCGCAGTTGCTTTGAGAAAATGCACAGAATTGCATTTTGGATACAATAGGCCATTAAACAAAACACATTTTTGTGGTCTGTCTAAAGTTATAGCATAACTTGTTTTAAACCCACAACTTTCAGAGAGATTAAAAATATAAAAATTCTGGCCAATATTTATAATTCGGCACTACTTTATTTAATTAAACAAAAATAAAACAATAAAAACTAATTAGAATCCTTTAGTCTTTGCAACTTTACAGATCTTCTTTATGCACCAAGAGCTTGTAACACTCCAAAGAGAAAGGAAAAATTGAAATCGCATCGTATGACCCCTTTAAGAATCCAAGACACAAGGAGGTTACAGGACTGCAGGGCTGCTGAACGCAACACTTCTGTCATGTTGCCCATAGCACTGCCTTCATCACACAGAGTAATGTAGTACTGGCTTATATAAGCAACCGTCATACCCCTTATCAGCAAATGTTTAACTTACAATCAATAGAAACTAGTCATTTGTATTTATGAAATTGACATATGAGTCTGGTCTGGTGAGAATAGAAATAGGACTGAGTAGACATTGTGAATGTGTTGAAAGTGTATTCCTATACACTTTGATTTAAAAGTTGTTTTTGAATTAAATTATTACTTTTATTAATCAAGGATGCATTAAATTGATCAAAGTGTCATTAATGAAGACATCTATATTGTTACCAAAGATTTCTGTTTCATAGAAATTCCAGGAAGTTAACAAAGCGTTGGACACCAGCGGCTGAACTCTTGACATTGAACGAGCTGCATGAGTTATGAAGCGTGGCATTAAATTTAAGTATGCAGAACAGAGTGAATATGAAAAGCACCATACAGGGGTTAAGAGAAAGATGAGTGACCCAGGGAGAGGGAGAGAGAGAGAGACGAAATGATGTTACCCTGATGTTAAATCACTATACCACGGTTGTCCTCGCCAATTGAGTCCCTTTCATTTGTATTGTGGTGTGTTAATCAGTGCTATCTGGCAGCAAGGGCTCTAAGCAGCGGGGCTTTGGCAAAGGCAGCACCTGCCTGCGGTACACATTGATACATCTGATGCCCATTTTACTGATAATGAGTTCGATAAGCCCTTTATGTGTCACCAAATGCATCTTTGATTAGAATCCTCCTCTTGACCTCTTGTTCAAAACTCTGTCTTTGTTCTTTCAGAGATGAATGATGTTTCCCTTTGTGATGTGAAGTCCTGGAAAGCCTTACAGAATTACGCAATTTAATCACATCTTTTATAAATCAAAGGTTCCTTGTCATGGTCTCGTTGGTCAGAACTGCCTCGAGGTTCTTATAAATTGGTTCTAAGAAATTGAAAATGCACATGAATTCTGGTTTATAGTTTACTCAAAAATGATAGATTTCTCAAAAATGTAAAAAAAAAAAAAACTTGAATTATTACTATTAATAATGTAAATGTATGCAGTATATTTATTATTATGTACTCACTCCCTTGTTGTTCTAAACCAGTGTTGTTATTGTTAACTAAAACTTAAACTAATAAATACTAAGTTAATTAAAATATTTTTTGGTAATTGAAATAAAGCTGAAATAATGAAATATGAATATTAGATAAAAAAACAAAAATGCTAAAAATAAATAAATAGTAATATAAAATAAATTTGTGGCAACTGGTTCATCAGTTTAACAGTGAATATGACTTCTGATTTGTATACAAACATTTTTTTTAAACTGGAAATTGGATAAGTAAAGGCTCTTTAAATATGTACAATTATTTAAAAATTATTTATTGATTTATTATTTTTATATTTAATTGCATTGTGAAACATTAAATCAATTATTTTAATTATTTGCAAAAGTTATTTATTTACATTTCTGTTTTTGGCATGCATTTATAATTGATTCTTGTTCTTTATTCAAAATAACCTTGTCTTTCTCTGAATTACAAATGTACCAGCATGTGTCCTTCTGCACAGGATAAAGATAAACAGGCATGGATAATTGCATTTTTTGTATGTGTTAATGTGTGTTTGTTTGTGTATGTGTTTGCCAACTGGAATTGAACCAATAAAACCTAATGGAAAACCTTCCTCAGTCAAACTAATGGACATATTATTCAGGCACTGCAGTGGATTTGAATTAATTTTAGTTTAACTTGCATATCACCTTAGAAAATGTAATACCATGTTTTGGGAAATGTAGAATGGTAATTTCTTGGTATTCTTTGAAGAACATTTCTGAGGGTCAGAGAACAGTTTATTTCTGCATTATGTCCTTTTGGCTAAAAGACGTTAGATGAGTCATTGTGAGAATTGTTCATCGTAATTAAATTGTTCATCAAAGTACATATATTCCCTTTCATGTTTTTGTGGATTATAGATATATCTGTCTTTCTGACATCGCTCTTTGACACTTCCTTGCCGTCATACTGAAAACTCAAGTGATTAATTGTTGGGTGCTTTTATGATTCACACTGTGAAGACCGCGTACTGTTGGAAAGGGGCATAGTAACTCGTACTGAATAGTTGATTATTTTTATTAATTTTTTTGTCAGTCAAAATATACTGAGTCATATCATAATAAAATGCTTTCTTTTGTGAAGTGCACAGAATTGCATTTTGGATACAATAGGCCATTAAACAAAACACATTTTTGTGGTCTGTATAAAGTTATAGCATAACTTGTTTTAAACCCACAACTTTCAGAGAGATTAAAAATATAAAAATTCTGGCCAATATTTATAATTCGGCACTACTTTATTTAATTAAACAAAAATAAAACAATAAAAACTAAAATCAGTCACTTTAAATGCCAAGTCACCTTTATCAATATAGCGCTTTATACAATAAAGATTGTTTTTTTTTAAAGCTTTGAAAATACATTTAAAACTTTGAAAATAACTATAAAGCAACTATAAATAACATTTTATTTGAAGATTTTACATTTGTAGATGGTCTAAAGCAAAAGAGTTGTACAAATTCAGAAAATCTTTTAGAGCTCCTTGTATTTAACTTTTCATAATCCGTTTGAAAAATAAAACATATTACACATTAATGAATAAATCTGAATATATAAAATTAATTTACAAGTGTCTTGTTTGTGGTGTAAGCTATACCTTCTGACATTTGAATCAAACCATACTCGTGATTTTATGACATCAATTACTGCTTTATTGAATCAGAAACACAATCTTAATGCTATTTGTGTTTTTTACTTTCATTTTATTACATGTAGGCCAACAGCACACCCTAAGTAAATAAAACGTCATACGGGACGGGAATTATTGGCTGATTTCGATAACATTCTAATAATATCTTGAATCCCTTGTAAACAGTCATTACTCAGTTAAAATCAGTTCACTGTTAATTCAGTTCGGTTCATTAACTGTGTGAAGTCCATCAGTTTTGGAATGAGTCTAATTCATGTATAAACTGCTCTGGAGAAAACATGTCATCATCCAGCTCAGTTCAGTTTAATAATATCGCCAAATATTAGGTGCCCCAACTAAGTGAAACCCAAACTCCATCAGTGACAGAAGTGGAGGGGAAAAAAACAGGCTCAGTCAGGGGGCCAGTTCTTCTCTGGCTAGACAAATGAACATGGTTCTAGTTATTTTCAACTGGCGACAATTTTGAGATCAATGTGGACGTAAAGGACTATAATGCGATAAGAGCTCGGTCAAGTACTGAGGAGCTGAATCATTAAGAGCTTTTAAGTAATCAGCAGGATTTTAAAATATATGCGATGTTCAATAGGGAGCCAGTGCAATACAAAAATTCATTATTTGCCATGTAGGCCTATGTTTATAATCAAGGATTAAAAACTAATTGTTTCATTCCGAGCAAAAACAGTAAGGTTATTTTTTTCTTTTTGGTTCTAAAGTGCTGAAGTCTCAAGTCAAATCAAGTCAAGTTGGGGTATGGCATACTACCATACTAGGGTATGGCAAGTTGGCAACGAGCAACCGGGGTATAGCGGGGGAGGCTAGGGAATGGCGACTGCCATACTCTGCCATATGGAAACGCTGCCACTGGCAATAAACCAAAACTCCATCGGTTACAGAAATGGAGAAAAAAACCTTTGGAGAAAACAAGCTCAGTCAGGGGACCAGCTCTTCTCTGGCCAGACAAAACCAGTATGGTGTGGGTTAATTCCAGGCTGCAACAGGTCAGATTGTGCAGAGGACTCTCTGGTTCTCGTGGTCTTGTCCCGATGGCCATCTAGTTGACAAGGTCTTCACAGGGGATTTGTCTCTGGGGCTCATAGTTGACATAGTCTCCGCTGACATTCGGGGCTGTAGTGTCGTATCTGGGTGCTGATCCACCATCTGGTCTGGATATGGACTGGATCTGGGTGGCTAAGGTGACCTCGGAATAAGAATGAAATGGACTAATATTAGCATAGATACCATTCTTCTTATGATGTAACAAGTACATGTACATCGGGTGTTGTGGGAAGTGTTCCCGGTTCCGGTTTACCTATTTAATGCAGCTTAACAATCCTTTAACGGATTTGAATTATAGAAATGTGATAGTGTGTTATGTGTAGGCCAGGTTAAAGAGATGGGTCTTTAAGCTAGATTTAAACTGACAGAGTGTGTCTGCCTCCTGAACAATGCCCTGTAGATTGTTCCAGAGTTTAGGCGCTAAACACGAAAAGAATCTGCCACCCACAGTTGATTTTGATATGTTAGGTATTATTAAATGACCAGATTTTTGAGATTGCAGGGATTCTATAATGAAGGACTATAATGCGATATGAGCTAGCTCAAGTATTGAGGAGCTAAACCATTCAGGGCTTTATAAGTAATTAGTCAGATTTTAAAATGTATTCGTTGTTCAATAGGGAGCCATTGCAGAGTTTACAGAACCGGGCTAATATGGTCGTACTTCATGGTTCTAGTAAGACTAGCTGCTGCATTTTGGACCAGCTGGAGTTTGTTTATTAAGCGCGCAAAGCAACCACCCAATAAAACATTACAATAATCTAACCTTGATGTCATGAACGCATTAATTAATGTTTCATTTGCATTAATGAAACATTAATTCATGTTTAATTTCATTATGCATTTGACATAAATTCTCCTTAGGCCGGTTATGATGAAATAAAAATTACTGCTTTATTCTTTTAGAAACAGAAGTAAACTAAGTAGACTATTTAAATACCCTGAAATTAGGATGCAGTTTATTTTTTTCATCTTCAGAACATTATGAATAGCATAATAAATTTAACTTGCAATGTTAGTGCTGTTTGTCTTTCATTTCTGTCATTTATTATCTCTCTTTCTTTCCGTTTCTGTCCTCCTAAACTTTTCAATTACCCACGTTCAGGAGGTGTTATCTTTCTGTGACCTGATCTCCAGCCCTCTATTTCAGCTCTCTTTAACCTCTCTCACTCACAGCTCTGTCACCCATGGAGTAGTTGAGCAGCCAAAGAAAGGGAAAATGAGAGAATAAAATAGAAACAGAGGAAGAGAGAGCTTGTGAAACCGTAGAGAGAGAGAAACACCTTCTCATGGTGGAATGTTCAGCTTAAGCAAAGATTTATTTCAGACAAACAGGAAGTCTGGCCTGCCAAATGACAGACAGGAAGTGTTATTTCTGCTCTTTGGGTTGTTAAGTCCTTGTTTTCAGCAGCACGGGGCCAAGCACACCACACCACTGTACCACCTCACACTCAGCACTTTGCAAAATGAACCGCGCTGACATGAGGGGATTGTTATTGCACAGACAACCTTAAAATGAAAGGAGCAATAGTGGGGAAAATTTGTTTCATAGCTGATTTATGGACCGTGCTTTCAGCTTTATTTAAGTAAACTGTAGGGTTTTGAGAAAATGAGAGCATCTGAGAGGCTCATTAAAACAATTCAAAGCTCTTTCAGCCGATGTATAGAAACTTTTTACCTGTAATTGACATATTTATTGTGAAATCACCTTGGGCAGAAAAGCCCAGGGCCGATAGGAATGGATTGTATTAAAGCAATAAGCAGAGGCTGTGCGTTACTGTAATTTTATCATAAATAAAGGGTGTTATTTGGCATGACATGAAACCTTAATATTTTCTGTTTACCTGTGACTCTAACATATATTCTCCAGAAGACTCCAAAGTATATTCTCCAGAATTGTAAAAACTTTTGTCTACCATGTGGTGCATGTGGTCATGTGGTGCACCCAACATACAGAAACATGCAGACAAAAATATGACAAAATGAGGTTAGTTGAAATTGTAAAATGCTATTAATTACTAATTCATAATATTGTTTTAAAATATTTTACCTTTATTACCTTTATATATTTATTTATTTTTTAAGAATAGAGTTAAGATTGATAAACTGAGATGTTTTTAATGTGTAAGGAA